GGTTTCGGTTTCGGATGTAGGGTTCATACAATTTGCGCAGGATGGAGTTTGGGAGTTGTTCACCGAATTTCGGGCAACGTTTTGATGCTTTGATGTTCTGTTTTGTGCTGAAGTTACACTATAAACTCTGTGCACTTACCTGGGATTGAGGATGAGCGGTAGGATGTTAATCGGGACTTCCGGAAGGGAGTCACAGTCTGAAAAAAATCCTCGAACCCTAAACTCCCAAGGCCAGGCCCCAATCCCTGAATTTCCTAGACCATCTAAACCGTGAACTCGGAACTCCCGAGTATTGCTTGGACCTCCAAAGCATGCGGAACAAGAGCCTTTCCAGTAGGGTTTTGGGCCAGCATGTCCCTAAACCCTAAACCCTAAACCCTAAACCCTTACCGACTTTTAAGGTCCACGTAGGTCTTTTCTTGCTCTCATCCCATCAAGCCCCTTCCCCAACTCTCATGTGAGTAGTATTTTAGTTGGGGAAACTATGGTAGCAAACTGGAGTAAGATTAAATCTTTTTGGGGTATAGTAGTTTATATAAGGAATATAATCTTACTAGGTTCCCCAAAAACACGCTACTCATGTGAGGGTTTCTCAGAAAACAAGGGCCCCCCAGGGACATATTTGGATCATGGACTGTGGTGGTCCTATGGCGAGGCTAAATAGGGATCAGAGTTTCATAGTTGACAAGTTCCCCTGTCTACATAGTTCGGATCTACAAATTCAAAAGGGAATTTTGTTAAAGCCAGCCTATGTCATAAAGACCTATGTTAGTCATGTATCCCATAAGGTGTCATTTTTGTGGTTCGCGCTGAGCGCCAAGCCATTTCAACAGCCAAATCCCGCCACAACGGTTATATCCAAGGCGACTCATTCAGTGTTCAGGTTGCCCTGGCCCCGATGGCAGTGTGGACAAGAGCCATGGACGAGGCTCATGTCACCACCAGCGGCTTCATTGACGATTCCAACATAAGAGCCAACAATCTAAACTCGCAGCCAGATGAGCACAGTGATGAGCCCCAGGCCACACCGTGGTGCCGCCGGCTCTTGCGTGGACTCCAGGTGTCTACGGAATTTGACACCTTCTCTGGCTGCGCCACCAACATGTGCAAAACCAAAGCCCCTGCCCTAAATCCTAAACCCTATACAGTCTAAACCGCATTGTGTCTGAAGGCTGATTTTGCTTTGCTGGGCAATTAGATGGAACCAACGATTTTAACAGGCCATCGCATATTCCCCCGTGTCCCTCATATCTACTTAATTTCCGTGTAAAGTTTCGAAAGCAAGTCTGGGTTCAAACGCTGCCTAAAGCACTATCTGAACCCCAAAAAGTATGTATAACAATGGCCGTCTGGGCTTCATTTGATGATGTGTGCCATTATGTCACCTACTTTAGGTGTTTATGCTGTAAGTATAAACACAGTACATGTGCTGAGGGCTAAAAAATTCAGAGTCCTTTGTTCTGACACGCAAGCCGTTTAGGGTTTATAGGCTTTAGGGTAAGCCAAGCGTGTGTAACGTAAACTTCTGCCCTTTGCAGTCCGATTGGCTAAGCCGGTGTTTCATAGGTTTGGAGGCGCCCTCAATATCTACCCCCCCTCCCCCGCCTATTAAATCTTGCAGTAAGCTTCAGTAAGCCTTGATGGTCCCGAATAATCCCTCACGAGGCCTGAACTTGTAGGGACCCCCTGCAACCCTAAAACTCTAAACCCTAATCCCTGAACCCTTACCCTGCAAGCCCTAAACCCCTGGTCATTACCCTAAACCCTAAACCCTAAACCCTAAACCCTACGAGCAGCAGTGAGGCAACTTGGAAAAAGACCAGACTTCATGGGGCTTAGGGTTAAGGGTTTAGGGTTTAGGGCTTAGGGTTTAGGGTTTAGGGTTTAGAGTATGTAGGGGTTACATTGGGATAGTACGCAATTACAATGGCTATATGAGCTATAGTCTAAACTCCTTAAAGAGGGGTTATACAGAGGATTAAATAGCGGAGTGTAATATGAGACATTAAGGGGGATACTAGGAGTTTAGACACTGGCTCATGTAAGGGCTACAAAGGGATAGTACCCACATACAGCGGCTACACGGGGATTGCATTGGGTGCTTGGGGCTTACGGTCTAGGGATCAGGGTTTAGGGTTCAGGGATATCCTCCCAAGAATGCAGCATCTGAATACTGGAATATACTGGAATGTGATGTAATGACTGTAGGACTTAGCGTTCCCAGCCGCTTGTGATCCCTTTTGGGAGGCCCTGTAGTAAGGGTTGTGATGCACTCTTGTGGGGCATACATCGGGCATCCTTCGTTTTTCTGGAAGTACCCATGTATTTCATGTTTACATATATGTATATATACATGCGCATATTTTGGTATATATGTGTACATACAGATTTATGGTATTCTAGCTTTTCGGGCTCTGAACACGCAGTTGGAAATCCTTAAACGCGTGCGCGCGACTTTTCGGTTCAGGCATCAGCAGCAAGTTGCGTTCTCGTGTGTCCTTCGCTCTCATCATTTGCAGCCATGCGTGAGCTCGTGCACGTTCAGGGAGGACTGCTTTTCAGGGATTTGGGCTTCTATAGGCATACGCATAAGAATGGAGACAGGGATGGGCAAGAAAATGTAGAATGGTTGTAGGGTGTATATGAAAACATCTGTATATGTAGCGCTCCTTGTGAACATGGGTGAGTGCACATACGGGGTGTCCTTTTTTGGGGGGGACCAGAAATCCCTAGACTCTGAACCCTACCCCCCGAAAACACAGCCTATTGAAAAGGGTTCCGATTGGAGTTGCTTGAGGGGCGTGCCCAGAGGGTCCAGGTGCCAAAAGCACAAATCTTGGGCCCAAGGGGGTTCCTGTACATGTTCTTTGGTGTCTTAGTATAGGCCACATACCCTACGTAATGACCCTAGAAGCCCAGTTGCCTACACAATGAGCTCCTGTCCCGGAGTCCCTGCATAGAGTTTAGGATTACAGGGTTTAGGGTCTAGGGCTTAGGGATACAAACGTATACTACCTACAACCCAGGAACCCACCAGATGGGTAGCTGAGTTTCTAGCGTTGTCGTATGTACAAGGAGGCGTTTTGGGAACCTCAATTTCCCAAATGGTTGTATAAGGGAACCTATAAACCATTTTGGATGCTGTAAAAGTACCACCCAGTATACCCTGTCGGTACCTGAACCCTTTTGGGTTTGCGCAGGGCTTGTAGGGTAAAGGGAGGCATCATTCAGACACCTATAACCTTTTTAGGTGAAACCTTAAGCCCCAAACCTTGAACCTCAAACCCTAAACCCTAAACATCAACCCTTAAACATCCTTACACCCAAAGCCCCCCAAAAGGAGTGTAGGTTGTTGCAATCACCTGTCACTCATCTGTGGGTCTCCTTAGACCTGCAGCCAGCCAACCAGTGGTATATCTTCAGCCAGCATTTGCCCTGCAAAGACTTGCAGGGGTTTAGGGGTTTAGGGTGTAGTGTTTAATGTAGACCCGTGATTAATAGACCCCCTCCTTTTGAGGGCCTTAATCTCGGGGGCCCTATTATAATCCCTATTTAGGAGAGGGGTTATTAATCAGGGGTCTACATTAGGGTTTAAGGTTTAGGGGGCCTTTGGTTAGCTAGGACTGAAGGAAGGGATCCTTATCGAAGTCCTTATGTAACCCATTCTAGTCGTTTCCATGTTCTTTGCCATTCCTTCTAAACCCTAAACCCTATATAACTCATTCTGGTGCTTTCCATCTTCTTTTCGACTCTTCCATTGCCAGCTAACCAAAGGTAAGAAGACAACAATTCAGGCCTATCCTTGACTTTACCTTTGCAGTTTAACCACCCACGGGCCCAGATTACTGCAAGCAACATCCACGTTTTTAGAAGACAGCCCCAGCCGGGGTCTTTTGCCTGCCTATTCCATGTGGGTTTAAGCTTGCTTTAGCTGTCTCTTGTCAGACAGTGCAGTGTTTTTGCCTTACCTCCCCCCGGAGTCGCTTGCCAGCCTATGCAATCTGCAAAATTTAGGCTAGCCTTACCTCTGCCCAGCTGGGGTCTCTTTGCCTGGCCTTTGGGCCACTTCTGGATTTTCAGCCGTGCAGTTAACCACCTACAGGCCTAGGTTACTGCAGTCAACAACTGCAGCTTTGCGCTTATGCGCCAGACGTGCATGCCTCCGGGAAGTGCAGACTTCCTGCTGGGACTCCGAAGGTGTCGACGAAGTCGACCTTGAAGCTTCTTCTCACCGCTCGTGGTCCTCCCGGCGGCGTTCGCTCGCTCCCGAGCAGCAAACTCTCCTGGCCATATACAGAGTGGGTGCCGTTAGTACGCCCACCCGGCGTGTCGGCATGGGCCTTAGCACTGCCTGTCCCGCCTGTCATGGTGTGGACGCTTCCATGCGCCACTTCATGATTCATTGGCCGGCCTTTGATGATTTCCGCTCGCAACTGCAACGCAAGTTCAACATTCACCCGGGGTGGTGGCGGCTGCTTCCAAGAATAACCGCCAAAAGCGGTTGGATTTCCACCAGTGCAGCGCGAACCCCTGACAAGCGCGCGCGGCTTCAAATGGCCGTCGCGCGTCTTACCATAGAAATCATGCGCGCCACCAGAGCTTTCCATCCTATATGGGGCGAAGACTCTCCTGCTTGCTCAGACATGGCTTTCACCGCCGGAAAAGAAAAAACTTAACCAGGGTTTAGCCTCATCAGTCCCCAGCCGGGTCTCTACCTAGACCCTCCTCCTACCCTCCATTAAGGCCTAAGGACCCACTATTTGGGGCCATATATCCCCAATTAAGGGCCTGGAAGACTTTCAACAGTGCATTTTGCTCGCAGTGCCCCTCATTTACAGAGGTCCCTTGCCAATCTAAGCAGTGTTGTACTTCAAGCTTGCCTCACCTCTCCCCACCCGGAGCCTCTTTGCCTGGCCTGTTGGCCCATTTCTGGACTCTCAACCGTGCAGTTAACCACCTACGGGCCTAGGTTACTGCAATCAATTTTCAACATTTTTGAGGACAGTGCGGCAACCAGATTGGTGCCAAGTTCTGGGAAGTCATCGCCGATGAGCACGGCATTGACCCCACAGGCTCGGAGTTTGTGTTTGGGGTTTAGGGCTTATGGGCCGTACACCGGAAACCTGGTTTTTGTGAAAACCAGGGCGTTCATGGTTTACCCTGAGGTTCCCAGGACCCAAATAATGGGGTTTTAGGTCCCAAATACCATTCATAGTATAGTATTTGGGCCCTAAAACCCAATTTTTGGGGGTCCTTGGACCCTTAGGGCTAAAGTCCTTAAAGGTGGTTATATAGGGAATAATATAGGGAGCTACTATAGGGGTTATTACAGGGGATACTAGGAGTCTAAGGATGTATTTGATGGGCCAGGAGGTTAGGGTGTGGCGGCTAGCCCTGAGGAGCTAGAAGCTTGGGAGTCGGCAGCATAGGGCTTTACATTTAAACGGTCTTAGGGTTGAGGGTTTAGGGTTTAGGGGCCTTAACCCTTAAACTTTGAACCCTGAATCTAGGGCTTATCATTTAGAGGGCTTTTTTTTCTTTATCTGCTCCCAAACTTACTTTTGGTTAGCTAGGAATGAAGGAATAGATCCTTATAGTAGCCCCGATATATCCCATTAGAGTAGTGCACAATTTCTTTTTTATTCCTTCATTCCTGGCTAACCGAAGGTAAGTACTTCAGTGTTTTAGGGGTGGGTTTGGTGGATCTAGGGTGGGATCCGCTAGGGTATCTTCCCAAAGTATGGTCTCTTTGACGGATCGGCGAAACAAAAGTTTCATGTTTTTTGCTCGTATACGCGGACGTAATTTCGGTGAATCGGCTTTTTACGTTGAAGCTATAGTCCTAGAGGTCACATCGGCTGTAAGAGCTTGTAGTGTGCAATGGATCAAGGGGTGATTTACCAATTCAGTAGTGAGATTCCGGCCTCTTTTTTTTGCGGGACACACCCTGAAAGAACGGTTGGGTTCCCCTTTAACTCCCCTTTGATGAGGTCCGGCAGATAGGAGGCTTGTCCTACGCGGGGTCACCCCGGAGTCTACCTCAGGGATTGACGTCTAAACCCTAAACCCGTAGCCCCCACACCTTAAACCCCTAAACCTAAAGCCTATACCTCTACACCCTAAACCCTGAACCTCTACGCAAACCCTTAGGCTCTAACCTGTTGTTCTATACGTTGCGTCATGAAAAGAGTTTTCTTTACTTGCAGTTTAGTGGAGTTTAGGGATTAGGGTTTCGGGGTTCCACTTGTTAACATTGTTCCCTTACGAGTTCAGAATACCACGCTGCAGGCATTCAGGGATTACAGAAGTTCCCTGAAGGGCCCAAGTACTCAAATATCCATGGTTTAGGTACCACAAGCCATTCCAATTGTAGTTGAGGCCTTTTTTAACCACATGATTCGTTGGGCCTTTCGCGGGTTTTGCAGGATAGCCTTAACATGGCACAGGTCACGGGTCTCCACGGATCACACGCCTTACGGCCAGCGCCCGAATCCTAAATCCCTACAACGGCAACTTTCCTAAGGGTCCAAGTACCTAATAATCAGTTACTTACCCAAAACCTGTACTACAATTACTATTACCCAAATCCCAAGTACCTAATTATTGGGTACATGGACCCTCTAAACCCTAAACCCTATAAATCCCTATATACCCCCATATATCCCCCTTAAAAGGGACCTAAATATTGGGTACATGGACCCTCTGGGTTACTCACGTCACTGTCCCCAGAGCAAGGGTGAAGGACAAATTCCTGCGAATCGCGAAGATTGTCCGCCTTTAATACTTTGACTGCAGTCCAGGACCTTCCTTGTACCCTTAATTGGGGATATGTGGTCCCTAATAGTGGGTACTTGGGCCCTAATAGAGGGTAGGAGGAGGGTCTAGGGTAGAAGTGATCTGAGCATCCTATTGCAGTTACTTAGGCGTCTATGTGACGCAAGAACACGAACCCTAATGCCCGTACTGTATCAGGGTCCATTCAAGGTGTGTGGCTTCAGGGTTTAGGGTTTAGGGCTCAGGTTTCGTGCTTTAAGTTGTCAGGGTTCAGGGATTTGGTTTTTGTTTTGTAGGGTTAGGGTTTCAGGGTTTAGGTTTGTTTAGGGTTCAGGGCTTAGGTTGCGGGTTGATATCGGGCGTACCCTTATAGGAGCCTCATGTATTCATGTACCCACCCAAGCCTCATATGAATATAAGATTTGCTTCCGCCTTACGATAATCGGAACCTGAATAGCGGAAGCCCGCGTTAAAACCCTAAACCCTATACCCTAAATTCCTAAACCCTTGGTAGTCACCAAATTTGGCTTAGGCTTTGAGGATCCCCTTGAGGGCCCTCCACACCTGCTTATAGATTTCCCTTCAGGCACCCCATTATCTTTGCGCAAAGTCCGTATAAAAGCAGAATTCTGTTTGGCACTCCATCTTGAGAAAGCCTGCATTCACCCCCACAAATCAGATATCCTTCATCAGTTATTCCCAAAGCAAACCCATTTGAGAAACCCTCACTCCAAGCCCCAGCTCAAATTCACATCTGGATGGCTTCAGTAGAAGCCAAGCAGTGCTAACACCTAAGGTTTGGGGTTTAAAGTGCGCATGGGGAACATCTTGCACCACTGCGGCCCCAAAGCGCACTGCGATTCCAACTCGTACTCGTACGGTTAAAGTTTACAGGCAAGAGCTCCTCCGTCCAAAGCGGGTTCCCATTGAGTTTTGCATGTTTCTTACGTACATAAACAGGTTAGGTGTCAGGGCCGGGTCCCTTGCAAAGCCTGAATTCGGAAGCCCCAAATCTTATGCCTTAAGCCAAAATCCTTGACTCCACGTTTGAGTGGTAAACTCTACGCCCTAAATCTTAGACTCTCAGCCTGTCATACCTCCATGGAATGCTTGACTGAACTGTCTCTCGCGAGGCCGCTTGATTTGGAAGCAGGCGTAGAACAACTTAAACCCCATGCCCTGACCTGCAGGCACCTACCATGGAGATTCTGACCTTCAGCTCGAGCGAATCAACGCAACTTGGCTTATCACAACCACTGCATTCAAGGATCAAGGGGTTGAGGCTGCAAGTATTTCCGGTTGCCCTCAAGCACTATAAGCCTTAAACCTTACACCCGGGATTCTCGGATGATCGAGGGCACAATCCCAAAAGGGAAGGGTAGAGCTCTGCGAGAAGATGCTCAGTCGCTGGTTTGTCCTCCAGTTCGAAGGTTAGTAGTAGTTAGTTGCTACTACTACTACTACTACCACCACCACTACTACTCCTCTACTACTACTACTACTACTACCACCACTACTACTACCACTACTACTCCTCCTCTACCTCTACTACTACTACTACTACTACTACTACTACGACGATGATGACTATGATGACGACGACTACGGCGTTGCTGCTACTGCTACTGCTACTGCTATTGCTACTGCTACTGCTCCTGCTACTCCCACTGCCACTACTGCTGCTGCTGCTGCTACTGCTACTGCTACTGCTACTGCTACTGCTACTGCTACTGCTACTGCTGCTACTGCTCCTGCTGCTGCTGCTGCTGCTGCTGCTGCTGCTACACTACGAGTGTTGCGGCTGCTACTGCTACTGCTACTGCTGCTGCTGCTACTACTACTACTACTACTACTGTTATTATTAGTACTACCACTACTACTGCTACTACTACTACTACTACTACGACTACTACTACCACTACCACTACCACGACCACTACCACGACCACGACCACGACCACCACCACTACCACCACCACCACCACCACCACCACCACCACCACCACCACCACCACCACCACCACCACCACCACCACCACCACCACCACCACCACCACCACCACCACCCATAATAACAATGATTGTACACTAGCACTAGTAAAGTTACTAAGAGGGGTCCCTATTTTCTGGCAAGCCACAGGTCTATTTCAACGAAGCTACCGGCGGACGCTACGTTCCCCGTGCCATTCTGATGGATTTGGAGCCTGGTCCCTGGGACGAAAATGAGATGAACAAGGTGTTTTTCATGGTTTAGAGTTTAGTGTTTAGATGTGTTTTGGGCTTTGGGGGCCAGGCTTCGTATAAATATTGAATTGTTGCGTTTCGAAGGGGGGTTGTCAAGGGAAGTGTGATAGCTCGAAAGCGTTTTTTCACGGGTTGAAGATTGTAATGTTGAATGCGTTTCAGCGAGAGGGGGGTATGAATCAAGGCTTTGCGTTCAGGCCCTTACCCCCCTAAATGCCTGAAGCCTCAAATCGGAATCCAGCGTCACTGGTGCTTTGAAGCATCTGAAGGGTTAAGAGCCTACACAGTAGGGATATCAATGAAACCCGCCGTAAGAAACACGGCCGAGTCCGAAGCCTGATAAACCCTCAAGAGTTCCATAGGGGCCTTCAAAATACTTCTTATTTGTTGGTTCTGAGTCCGGTTTAGAAGCTTCAAACTTTAAACAATCCTAAGCCCTAAGCCATCTTAAGCCTTAAGCCATCCCAAGCCCTAAACCAGAGCAATGGGGTTTAGGGTTTGGGATTTTTTTGGGGGTGAAGATGCCACCATGATTGACGCACCATGGTGCTAACTATAATGCCCTTACCCAAAGTTCCCCTGAATTCACCTCATGAACTTCGAAATAAGCCGAAGAAATTAAGCTTACCCCAGGGATCCAAGTATACAAATCATGCCTGCATTGGACCCTAAACTCTGTCAATACGACCTACATTGGGCTGACCCTAAACCCTGAGCCCCAAAACAAGCCCAATCAATTTAGCTCAGGGCTGGGGAATTCGTACCCTGCCAGTTGCAAGGAACAATGGACAGCGTCCGCGCTGGACCGTTCGGCTGCTTGGCGGTAGTTTACGTGTTGGTTCCTAGCAGGGAATGCAGGAATTGGAAACTATCATTCAGTGTTAGGGTTCCCCTAAACCCTAAACCCTAAACTCAGGGAGGGCTTGGGGTTTAGGAATTGGAACAGGAAGCGGAAACTATAACGTTCAGGGATAGGGTTCATAGGGAATGGAACAGTGAATGGAAGTTACTACGTCATCAGGGACAAGGGCTACTAGAGGCATCCACTACTACCCAGCAAGCTGAGGGGTTTAAATTTTAAACCTGAAGCAAATAAGGAACTGTGTTACCCATCCCTTACAAAGACGATCCTAAATCCCAGATCCTGGACCGCAACCCGCAGAAGTGGGGTTCTGATTAAGGGGTTGGGGTAGCTAAATTTTCCTCACCATGAACCGGGTCTAGCGGCCCGGGAGGCCGGGTTTAGGGCTTAGTAAAGGGTAAAAGGGTTTACTGGGTTGAACTTAGGGCCCCGGTGCCACACCCTTTCAGGTGTAGGGGTTTGGGGTTTAAGGGATTTGGGTTTAGGGAGTCCACCTGACAAGAAGATGAGCATGTGAAGCCGGGTTTGCTTCAGGGATTGTATTTGTCAATCATGGTACGTAGAACTTAGGATAGATTAGCACCCTATCTTTACAATGAGGACCCAGGAGAGTCATATGAAAGCAATGAGGTCCTTACTTTGGGGGTTGGAGTAACCAAATCCTTTCCTGTAGTTGTTAAGAGTCATCATGGGTTCCCTTACCGCCCCTCGCCCACTACCCCCAGTTAGGCTTCCCTTAATTCGATTCATTTAGCCCTTACTATCCCGAGGTGGGTAGTATAGCGGGGTGGCAAGGGAATCCATGAAGTTAGAATGCATGGGTTAGGTTTCAGTGGTCAGGGTATACGGTTTGGGGTTTGGGGTGGGTTCCGTTCAAGGGTTATTTGTCACGTCGTCGCCCTTCAGGTTTAGGGCCCCTGTACTACTGCGCTAGTCTATCATGACACCATCCGTGAGGTTGGGAATCCAATGGACGCACCCAGAACGCAGATTGTAAGGGTGTGCGGCATGATATGGGGCCAGTTTGACTGAATTGGCCCAACTCCTAGGACGGGTTTTGCGGCGTCATGTCAGTCGTAAGAATCTTGATTAACTTGGTTTCACGTTGTTGCGGCTACGGGGCTGTTGTCAACCAGACTGCTTTACTGTGAGGCTTGTCCTGTGCGCGGGGGGCGGGTGCGAGCACGGTAGGTTGCTTCGTATTGCTTAGGTGATCCCGCCGCCACACACACACTGACAGGTAGTAGCAGAACATTTTAGGGCTCTCATATTAATCTCAGATTATATATCTCTTGTGGTCTCTATAACTGGGTGGAGGGGACCACTTAAAGTATCCTGGAGAGCTTCCCAAGGGGATCCTGAAACCCAAGCCTTGATCCCTCAACCCCTAAACTCTAATCAGTAAACTCTCTAAAGCTTTAATCCCTAACCCGAATCCCTAAAGCCCTAATCAGTAAAACCTTAATCCCTCAACCCTAAACAGTAATCTCCAAGCCCTATACTAACCCTAAGCCCTATACCCTAAATCCCTATACTTTTGACCTTTAGAGGTTGGTTGGTGATCGTGTTACCACAAGAGGCAGAGAGTTAGCGCCACCCAAACAAGCGTGGGGCGCTTTAGGGGTTTTTGGGCTTTGGGATAAAGAGCCCTGAGCCTTAAGGGCTTAATCCCAAAACCCTAAAATGTCTAGGGGATGGAGCTTTTTAGGGCTTATTCCAATGCATGAGAACCGTGCAAATGCAATGCAGACTCATGACTTCGGGAGTTTATGGACACGTAGAAGAGGCAGTCAGAGGAAGGACGCTAAATGGACGTTGAAGCCACCATGCGCAAGGCGCGCGCAGGTGACAGCAAGTGCTCTTGCTGGCGTTCAGGCAAAGGACCGCTCGGGCAATCTGAGGGGCGCCACGGACTCCTAAATGGGAGGTCGCGTGAAGTGCGTTGCTTCGTGTTTGTCCCATGCTCCTCGTCATCAAAATTTGCGAAAGCAGAAGAGGCTTTTGCGCAGCAAGGCTGCCGAGAACGCCGCCAGTCTGCACTTCTTTGAGGCCTTCACCGGTTGCCTCAACCAACGTTGCATTTCTCCAGCAAGCCGTTGCCAGCTCCGTATTTCAGGAGTTGCCGTGGCAGATTAGTGGATGTCAGCCGAATCAAGGAGAGAAGTACAAGGAAGACTAAGCTAACATGTCCTGCGTAAAGGTGCCCCGCACACAGGAGTGAGACCCAGATATCGCGGCCCCGTGTTGGCCGCACGTGCCATGTTCCCACACATTTGGCATTATTTGGCCGCCATCATGATATTTACCATCTTTACCGGAAGTGTTATTCGCTTCCACATAAGTTCTTGGGCAATCTTCCAAGCAGGCCTTTGCCGATGTAGTTTATTTGCAGTATGCAGGAGGCAGGTGTCTCCCAGGTTGGGGCTTTGAAAGCTGAGGCCACGGCCACTTCCCAAGTGCCCTCTTTACCAGGACCTTCCTTGTACCCTTAACTGGGGATATGTGGTCCCTAATAGTGGGTACTTAGGCCCTAATAGAGGGTAGGAGGATGGCCTATGCGGCACGGCGTGTCCTGAAGCTAAACTTCTGCACGTGCTGTCTGCAACGCAACCCCGTAGGCCAACTACCAGATAGTCATAAGCTTGGGGTCCACGCATGTGCCAAAAAAATATTTTAGGGTATATGGTGATACTCGCATTTATAGTGCAGGTTTCGGGGAAGCACGTGAATAGTCAATACTTGGACCGTGAGGATCGCTTTCCCCAAGGCCGGACCTACAAGTATTCTTGGAGCAAGATCTTTCCAAAACCGCGTGTGCTTGTTTAGTTTGGGATTGGGTATAGGATCGCTGTAAATGACTCGGCCTGCCATGATTGTTGTGTTGTGATCTTATCGGCTGATGGTAGCCCAGAATCCATGCCTTCAAACCTTATGACCTGAGCTTTCATGTTTCACTCAAGGTCAGTTGTTCCGCCCCGACAACTTTGTGTTCGGTCAGACAGGGGCCGGAAACAACTGGGCGAAGGACGGCGGGCTTGTCTAGATTCAAGGTTTGAATGTAGCCCCGAAATAATTAGTAGGTTTAATTAGCCTGTTAGTTGGTGTATCCGGTGTAGCCGTAGGTAAACGGATTTGTGTGTAGGGTTCAGCCAGCAGATAGCTAAACAACTTCATGGAAGTTGGACGTGTGAGCAGGTTGTTTTCCGTCGTGATGGTCAGCATCCCTTCCTGGGGGGGATGTACTTTTGAGAAAGCCAGTAGTTACTTTTGCCTTAATGTCTATAAGTAATACTGGATCCCAAAATTGGGCAAAGTGACCCCTTAAAACAACTAAAAGACCATACCTACAAACATCCATGCAGTACCAATTTTGGGTCATTTTGATCCCTCGGGTCCCCGTGGTTCGCGCAGCAACATCGGTGGCGGGAATGTGAAATCAGACATCAACCTCGGCATACGCAACGGCTGCAGGAAACGATAAGGGAAAATAATCCTTAGGTCATCCTTATATCATCCCTATACAATCGAAAATTTAGGGTCCAGGTTTCAGGGTTTAGGGTCTAGGGTTAATAGGGAATAATGAAAATGTCATTCAGGAATTGCATAAGGATTATACTCCCTCATTCCTTACGAAGAACCAGTAAAAAGCACACCCAGAAAATCCACTTGGAGAAGTACATTTGACGGATCGGAACGACGTGTCAACGTACCTGCGACTATGTTGAGATTGGTTTAAAGGTCTAAGGCTCAGCGGCGCTTTAAGACAGTGGACTTGAGATCTATGAAATCTGTCCAGGACCAACATAGGCGCAGCTGCAGTTCCCCAACAGCCTTGAACCTCAAAAAAAATGACCTTACGAACCAACAGCTAAACTCAAACGCTGCCCTTCTACATGTGATCTCCAGATTTGGAGGGCCATTTATAAATCCCAGTATACAATAACCCTCATAGCAGGCACCCGGAAGGGTCCAAAAACCATCATATTTTGGGTCCAGATCCAGATTGCTACAATGCAAATGGTTTTTGGTACATTTTGGGTACCTGCACAACCCTAAACCCTAAACCCTAAACCCTAAAAGAGTTACATCCAAGTTGCTTCC